TTTAGGATATATCCAATATTTTCTCATTATAAGCAATGCTGAAATAATTATCCTTTAACATACATCTCTGTGCACTTGCCTGATTATTTATCTGGATAAGTATTAGGCATGGACAGAGGGTATGCACATATTAAATGTTGACACATCTATATATTAAACAAATGTTTATTGAGGGGCTAGTACATGGGGCACATTTATGCTTGATGAACAGATACCATGGTGGAGCTTTTAGTCTGGTGGGGAGACTGAGAATTGAACAGGTAAACAAATAGTAAATAGTTCATAATATGATGAGTGATAAGTGGGAAATGAACAGATGTGTGGGCAGCCTGGGTGGCTCAGCGGTTTAACCCCACCTTCAGCCCAGGGCATGATCCTGAGGACCTGGGATGGAGTCCCATGTCAGGCTCCCTGCATGGAGCCTGCTTCTCCCTCTGCCTGTGTCTCTACCTCTCTCTCTCTGTTTCTCATGAATAAATAAATAAAATCTTTAAAAAAAAAAGGCAAATGAACAGATGTCGTATGAATACAAAAAGAAGCTACTTAGATGACCAGTGAACACCTCCGAAGAGGTGACATTTAGCTGAACGTTTAAGGATGAGAAGGGCTCAGATGCTGTAAATATGGTGAGGAGGCATGCTGTAGGTGAAATCCCCTAGGGAAGAAAGAACTTTCATATTTAAATATCTAAAAGGAAACCAGTATGGCTAGAGCAGCTAAGAAGATAGAGGGGCAGACAAGGTCCAGAGAGCATGAGATCTAGTCTGGAGCATTTGAGTTTATTTTATTTTTTGGAAAGTCACTGGAGGGCCTTTAGAAAGGAAGTGACTTGCCGTTTTATTGCTATTATTGTTATTTTAATGATCACTCTGGTTGCTGTTTTCCATTGTTTGAAAGGAGGCAAAGCCAGGAGACCAGTAAGGATGTTATTGAAGTGATCTGGGCAAGATAATATGGTTTGGAGTGGAGCATTAGGAATATCCAAATGGATCAGTGGATATAACAAAGCATTTATAAACAGGGAACTCAATATGATAAAAGTTTATTCCTACACTGGTGGCCCACAATTTTATTTGCTAAAGTTGTATATTTTTTTAAAGATTTATTTATTTTGGAGAGGGGAGCAGGGGGAGAAGGAGAGAGAGAATCTCAAGCAGACTCCCCACTGAGCTCAGAGCCCACCAAGGAGCTTGATTCCAGGATCCTGAAATTATGACCTGAGCCAATATCAAGAGTCAGACCCTCAACCAACTGAGTCATTCAGTTCCCTTATGTTACATTTTAATATGTTAGATAACCAGTATTATTACTGCTCTAATAGATATTAAAATATAAGTTACTATATTAATGTATAATAAAATATGACATATGAGTTATAATGTTTTACATTATATTTTATATTCATTATTAATATTCTTATAATAAATTTACTATACTATTATCAGTTTCAGAATTTTCCTGTATATTTTCCCATATTTATCAAAATCAGTTTTAAAATAATTTTTTTTAAATCTTTATTTTTTTTTTAATTTTTATTTATTTATGATAGGCACACAGTGAGAGAGAGAGAATGGCAGAGACACAGGCAGAGGGAGAAGCAGGCTCCATGCACTGGGAGCCCGACGTGGGATTCGATCCCGGGTCTCCAGGCTCGCGCCCTGGGCCAAAGGCAGGCGCTAAACCGCTGCACCACCCAGGGATCCCAGTTTTAAAATAATTTTGTCAGGGATCCCTGGGTGTCTCAGAGGTTTGGCACCTGCCTTTAGCCCAGGGTGTGATCCTGGAGTCCCGGGATTGAGTCCCATGTCAGGCTCCCTGCATGGAGCCTGTTTCTCCCTCTGCCTGTGTCTTTGCCTCTCTCTCCCTCCCTCCCTCTCTCTCTCTGTCTTTCATGAATAAATAAAATAATAAAAAAATAATAATTTTGTCATGTTCCATTACACCCCATCCCTCAAATCATATTGGTTCTTTAATTTAAATTCCACTAAATTTATAAATTGAGTTAGGGGAGATAATGACATATTTGCAATATTGAGACTTCTACCCCAGGGATTTATTGTTTTTCCTTTTGTTAAGGACCTCTATGTTTTTCAGTAAAGTTTTATAGTTTTCTTTCTGTGGGCCTTGTCATTTCTTGTTAAAGGTAAAGGTTAAGCCCAGGTATTTTATAGTATGAATTCCTAATGTGAATATAATGTTCTTAAAAAATATCATACTTTCTAAGTAGAAATCACTGGTTATTTAGTGCTGTACTTAAGGGATCTTATAAGTAATACCTCTCTCTCTTTTCTGAATTGGGAAGAAACTGAGGCATAGATACAGAAAAGAGACATAGGAGATAAGAATCCTGGAAATTGATAGGAAAGTGTAGCTTTTGATCTGTAGCCAAGTCAACTTGCTATATTTACCCCCCCCCCCCCCGAATTGGATAGATTTACCTCTATAGTAGCTGGACAATAGCATTTCTCTGCATCAGAAACAGATCCACTTGCCACATGGAGAGAACACATAAAATTATTTGCTCTCTACAATCAGCCAGAAGCCAAAAAGAACACAGAAGTTTCCTTCTATGGAAACAAAGTCTTTTCCCTTAATATTTAGGAAAGCCATTGATTTTGGTGTTTATCTTATAACTAGCCATTTTGCCAAATTCTTTAAGATTTTTGGCTGATTCTCTTCAACTCTTGTTTTTAGGTACGCACTTAAATCATGAACAGGTAATGACAATTTTGTCTCTTCCTTTCCAATATTTGTTTCTTATTTATTTTTCTTATCTTATTGCATTGGAATTAGTTTGTAGCAGCTATAGCAGATCCTTGTTGTGTTTCTGGCTTAAATGAGAATACCTTTAGTGTTTCACCATTAAAGATGTTTGTTGATGGCTTCTGATAAACTTTATCATATTAAGTTTACATTTTCTTCCTAGATTACTAAGAGGTTTTTAAGAATTAATAAGTAATCAGTGTTGAAGTTTATCAAATACTTTTAAAGCATCTGTCTTGTTGAAATATCCTGTGATTTATTTTTCTTTAACAATACACTGAATTTACAGGCTCCTTGATGTTGAATTATTCTTGCACTTCTGGAATAAACCTTGCTAAATCATAGTGGATTTTGAGTTGTTTTACAACAAGTTGGATTCAAATTGCTAAAATATTGTTTCATAGCTTTAAAACTATTATATACTTATGTAGGTTGGTCTATAGTAATGATTCACATATTAGAAATAATTGGTGAATTTTCAAAAAGGTTGTGCTGGCTCAGATGAGTTTGAGAAATGCCAGGTTAAATGTGTTTCTTTACTCCTAGGCTTCACAGAGACATTAATATACAAATACTGTGATTCTCTAAAAAATAGGTTCTATATGGTATGCAGTACTTTCTCAAATTATTTGACTGTACAGCCTCTTTTTTGAATAACCCATATTAAATTATCCAGAGGCCAGTGTTCTATTCTGATCTGTAGTTCTCCTTATTGGTGTAATCTCTGTCAGATTTTGGTATCAGAGTCATGCTAAATTTGGAAAGTGAAATGGAACATTTCCCCCCCTTTTTTTTCTTCTTTTGTGTAACAGTTTAAATAACAGAAGGAGTGTGTGTCCCCTAATGGTCTGAAAGAACTTGTCTATAAAACCATCTGAGCCAGTGGCATTTCTGAGTGAGACAGGCACTCAGAATGCATACACTTGCCTGGCTTTCCACAGGATATTTTCCCAACAGTCAATTCTGCTTAGAAAAGCTTAGAATGTGGGGATCCCTGGGTGGCTCAGCGGCTTAACGCCTGCCTTCAGCCCAGGGCGTGATCCTGGGGTCCTGGGATCCAGTCCCACATCAGGCTCCCTGCATGGAGCCTCCTTCTCCCTCTGCCTTTGTCCCTGCTTCTCTCTCTCTCATGAATAAATAAATAAAATATTTTTTTTTAAAAAAAAGCTTAGAATGTGTGAAAATTAGACTTGATGTATTAGCAAATTGATGCCAATCACTCCTGCACGGTCCTCAGCTCTAAAGGCTCTAGCCTTCGGACCACAATTCTTTCAAATAGCAGGCCAGCCTCTGTCTGGGGATGCCTTGCTGGGGCTGTGTAGGACATTTTTGGTTAAGGGTTCAGAGTCTTTTCTTGTCTTTGGTACCAGCCAGTCTAGCTGAGAGTCAAGCTCTGGACCCCACTTCCCATCCAGCTTTATCTTATCCTCTGGCCTGTACTTTTTCCCAAGTACTGTAAGGCATCACTTCTATTAACCTCTCACTCTAGATGCTTCCCTGAGGGCAGTTCCATAACCAAGGATCTGGGTCTCTGAGGGTGGATCATTTGCCCAGCATAGAGGGGAGGCAGAGAATTGCTGGGAGATTGGGGTCATTCTGAGAGGGGGGACTGAGGCCTGGCTAAGCTTGTGTTGGGTCATTTGAGACAGTGGGGTCTCCTGAACAGGAGTGAGCGGAGTTGAAGGAATGGCCTGATGTTCACTAAAGCCTAGGAGGGTCTGGTGTCCCTGCAAGAGGCCAACGTGTGTGTGTGTGTGTGTGTGCGCGCGCGCGCGCCCGCGTGTGGTGTTCATCTAGGCGCCAAGAGGCCTGGGGGCGTCCGGGGTTCTTAGTTCTTAGGCTGTGCTGAAGGGCTGATTCAGGGAGGCCTGGGAGAGCTGGGTGGGCTGCGGGGCCCTGCCCGAGAACAACGAACTGGTGCCCGGGCGCCAAGAGGCCTGCGGCTCCCGGGCTCCGAGGCCGGGCCGGGGGCCGCCCGCGCGCCCGGGGAGGGCGGGCCGGGGGCTCGGGGGCTCGCGGGCTCGCGGGCTGAGCCGTGGGGCAGGCCGGGTGGGGGAGGCGGGGTGCCGGTCGGGGCGGCGGCAGAGGCGCCGCGGGCTCGGGACGCCGGGGCTCCCGCTCCCTCCTCCCCCGGAGCCAGCGCCAGAGCCCGGAGGCCGGGAGGCCGGCGCGGAGAGGGAGCCGCCGCCGCCGCCAGGCCGCGCCCCGCCCCTGCCGCCGCCGCCGCCGCCGCCGCCGCTCCCCGGTGAGGCTCGCGCTCGAGCTGCGGCGCCGGCCCCGCCGCCTGGGCCCCGGGCCCGGCCCCTCCCGCGCCGCCCGGGCGATGAGAAGCTGCTTCTGCGTGAGACGGAGCCGGGACCCGCCGCCGCCGCAGCCGCCGCCGCCCCAACGGGGAACAGTTAAGTGAGGCCGGGCGGGCAGGGCGCCGCGGAGGCTCGGCCGAGCCGGCCCTGCTGCCCCGGCGGCCGGGCGGGCGGGCGGGCGGGCGGGCGCGGGCCCCGGGCCGAGGGGCGGGCGGGCGGGCGGGCGGAGCTGGGCCCGCGCCGAGGCCTGCGGGCCCCGTGCCCGGACCGCCGTGGGGACAGGCCCGGCGGCCTCTGCCCGAGCCCGAGCCCGCGCGCGCCGCGGCTGCCGAACACCGGCTTGGCCTTGCCGCGGGCGGGCGGGAGGGAGCTCGGGGACCGGAGTGCCGGCAGGACCCTCCCCTCCTCCCTGGGTGCGGGACGGGTGAGGGGACGCGGCCCACCTGTGCCCAGGCCGCTGCGGGCACCTGCACGGGCTGAGGACAGTCGTTTCACTGGCCCGGCCTGGGGTCCAGCTCTCTGTGGTCACGTGGATGCAGACCAGCTTGCACCTGAGCCTTGAGCATCATCTGGGGGGCCGGCCTCATCTGTGACCTGGACGCAGCAGAGAGGACACCCCAATGCCAGGGCACCTGTATGAAGGTGTGGTGCCGGGCCTGAGCACCCAAGACCCAGAGTACCCATTCTGCAAGTGTGGTGCGTGTGTTGATGAGCACCCCGCAAGGAAGTCAGCCTAATGAGGCTCGGGGCAGGGGCTGGAACAAGAGCTATGGCTTAGCACCAGGGGAACCTCAGATCCCCAGCGACAGGCCCTGGGTGAAGAGGGCAAACCCATGAGCACCGTTTTCCTCTTTGTTACCAGCAGACAACTCTTCCTAAATTATCAGCCTTTCTCACCACTAAAGATGTGACTCTTCTGTCCCCTGCCTCTCAGCAGCCTCTTCAGCAAGGCACAGAGGAAGGCCTCAGGAAGGCAAAAGACAAATGGCTGTTGCCTCTTCTCTGCTCCCTGCCCCCGACCAACAACCAGGGCCCACTCAGGTTTCTGCCACAAAAGCCACAACAGGCCAGCGACTCTTTAGGGGCCTTTGTCTCTGGTGGTTCCTTCTCAGCATAATCTCATTGTACATTTCTTGACAGCTGGCTGGATCTCATCTCATTTTATCAGCTGCACCAGATAAGCCTAGAAAAGAGGATAAGCTCTGCGGAAACCTAGACAAACCAAAAAGCTCAGGGTACTCTGAAGGTTAGTTACGGGACACAGGTGACACCTTTCTTGCTCACTGGAAATTGTTGTGGTCCTTTGAGATACTGGGCCATGCAGAGAATATTTAAATGGGGCCTCTGAGAGATGGGACCTCTGCTGGGATCTGGGCATCAAGCTCCGTGTGAAGCAATTGACTGGTTCATTTGAGCCCAGAATCATCTTTTCTGATCAACATTTCTCCTTCCTTCCCCTCTAGCTCTTAGGCCACACTCCTGATTTATGCTGAAGGCATCTTCCCTGCCTGCCTCCATCCCACTGGCAGGCATTCCCTACTTGCAGCTGGAACAGTACACCATGGTTAAATGCAAGGACTTTAGAATTAGACCTCAGCTTAATCCCTGGCTTTTCTACTTACTGTGTATTCTTGGGTAAATTAGTAGACTTTCCTGAGCCTCACTTTCCTCATCAGTAGAGTGAGGCTGATATCTATCTCATAGGATTATGGTGAGCAGTGAATGAAATATTACAAGAAAAGCATTTAGTTTTGTGCCTGCCATAGGGCAAGTGGGTCAGTAGAAGTTAGTGATTATTATTAAGTGTTAACTTATTAATCAGAAGAGTAGCTTCATTTTTTTTTTTTTCTTTAGAGGGTCTTTCTGTTTGTGGTTATTATTTAGCTTTCCTTAGGGCAACTAGGAAAGAATGGTAAAGAACACAGGGGTTGGATTTGGGGGTTTGGATTTGAATCTCAGTCTTCTTCCTGTAGTCCTGATGACCCTAGGCAGGTCCTGGAATCTCACGGAACCTTTCTGAATCCTGATTTCCTTCAATGTAAAAGTGGCTTAAGAATATAACCTACCCCATAAGGCTGAATGAGATGTATGTGAATGCATGTGGCACTACAGAGGGTGTGGGGGAGTCCTCACTAAATTTAGGTGGAATCCAGAGGCAGACCCTGGTTTTCTGGGTTAGACAGTTTGGAGTAGAGAGGGGTTATAAGAAAAGGAATACAAGAATATCTTGCTTTTGTACATCTTACAAAACCACATGACCATGTGAACACATTGCTGGGTCCCCTCTCAGGACCTTGGCAGGGGTAAAGGGGTGGCTGAAGGTTAATTGCTCTTAGTTTTGTGGCAGATCTGCTTTTGGGGGAGTCATAATCCAAAAGTTGTCGGCCCTGCTGCCTTAGCAGGTTACAAGTGCTCCATGCTTTATGCTCAGAGAGCAACATCCTTGCTACACTAGAAAGTAATGATGGAGTTGGAGCCAAGCATGGGAAATGTCAAAGGTGCTATTATGATGATGAAGATAACAAATGACTACATGGCTGGATGTGGTGGGCTGAGAACACTGTATTTAGTAGGTTGCAGTTGAATGAACAGAGTCTCCTTTGCTATTTGGGTTGTGGGAGGGGAGGCCTGAGGTCCTTGAATGAGCTGCCTCTCTCAGGCTCTTCTTGCTCTCTCTCAGACTCTCCCAGTCCCATGTTTTACTGGCCCCACTCATGGCTATCCTTGGCCTTCTGCTTGCTGGGCTGCCCTTGAGAATTGTGGTTTCCCTGCGTTGTCTGCACTGTGCGCAGCGGGGTTGCCTGTGTTAGCTCTCCTTCGCTCTGCTGCTTGGGAGGTAGAGCCACTGCAGGGTGTACTTGACATTACCTCCCTTGTTGGGAACATCCTGTGGGCACAGGCTTGGTTTACCTGACACACTTCTGGTGAGATGTGGAGCTTGTCCAGGCTGAAATGTGAGAGGCCCATGGGCCTAGAGCCTAGAAGTCACATGCTGAAGCTTCGTAGCTCCGACTTCCCTGAGGACTGGAAGACCATCTTGTTGGGCTGTGGCTAGAATCAATATGAGATCTTTCTATACACACATACACACACAGAGAAGCATAGTGTGTGTGTATGTGTGTTTTAAACATAAACTGATCAACAAAGCAAAATATCCAAAAGAATATCCCTTGGTCCTTTAGAACCAGAACAGAATAAATGAATTCTTAGTATGCTAAATATACCTAAGATATTTAAGAAAATGCAGATTCTAGGGCCTCACACCTACATCGTCTAATCAGAGTATCTGGGGAAGGGGCCCCGGGGACTCGGTGTTTACAGTAAGAACCTTGGGTTGTTGTTGTTGTTCTTCTTCTTTTTTTCTTAAGATTTTACTTATTTATTTGATAGAGAGGCCCCAAGCAGGGAACAGGTAGAGGGAGAGGGAAAAGCAGGCTCCCCGCTGAACAGGGAGGCTAGCATGGGGCTCGATCCCAGGATCCCGAATCATGACCTGAGCCCAAGGAAGTCGCTTAACCGACTGAACCACTCAGGCGCCCGTTGGGTTGTACTTCTGCTTACTGAAACTTGAAAACCACAATTACAAATGCCCTTTTTAAATTGTAAAAAACACAGAAAATAAAATGTACCATCCTAATCATTTTCAGGTATACAAGTCAGTGGCATTCAGTACATTCACATTGTCATGCGGCTAATCTCTGGAACTTTTTCATTTTATGAAACCCTATACTCATTTTTTTTTTTTTTGAAACCCTATACTCATTAAACAGTTTCCACATCCCCTCCCCCAGGCTCTGGCAACCACCATTCTACTTTCTGTTTCTATGAATTTGACTAATCCAGGGGCCTTATATATGTGGTATTATATAGTATTTGTCTTTCTATGACTGGCTTATTTCACACCATACAATGTCTTCAAGATTCATTCATGTTGTAGCATGTGCCAGAATTTCTTTGCTTTTTAAACTGAAATAATATCCTTCTGCATGTATATACCCATTTTGCTTATCCATATTTGTCTGTGGACACTTGGGTTACTTCTACCTTTTGGCTCTGGTGAATAATGCTATTGTGAACATGGATGTACAAGTATCTTTTGGAGACCCTGTTTCCAATTCTTTTGGCCACATACCCAGAAGTGGAATTGCCAGACCCTACAGTAATTTATTTTTCATTTTTTGACGACTCACCATACTGTTTTCTAGAGAGTGGCTACATTTCCGTTTCCACCAGCAGTGCAGCAGGGTTCCAGTTTTCAAATCCTTGCCAACACTAATTTTATGGCTCTTGTTAGTGGCCATCCCGGTGGGTATGAGGTGATAGCTCATGTGATTTTGGTTGGCATTTCCCTAATGATTAGTGATGTTGGACATCTTTTCATATGCTTGTCAGCCATTTGTATATCATCTTTGGAGAAATGACTACTCAAGTCCTTTGCCCATTTTTTCATCAAGTAGTTGGGTTTTTGTTGTTGTTAAGTTGTAGAAGTTCTGTATAGATCTGGATTTTAACTCCTTATGGGATATGTGATTTGGAAATATTTTCTCCCCTTCCATAGGTTGTTCATTTCACTCTATCACTTGTTTCTTCTGATGCAAGTTCTACAAGTTCTTTATACAGTATAACCCTGTAGAGAACAAATTATTATCTACTATTCCAGTTTTAGGGGGGTGAAAACCTGGGCCCGGTTTAGCTAATGTGGCTCTGGTCACACAGCTATATGTAGCATGAGAGTTGGGAGTCAAGCTCAGATCCCTGACTCCAGAGCTTGCGCCCTGTCTGTTCTCTGCTTTACTTCCCATTCCCCTATGGAGCTAACAAGAAGGCCCATGGCAGTGTGCAGGAAGTGGCATCAGTTCGAGAAGCATTCATTTACAGGAGAGGAAATATGAGGCTTGCAAATCCCTTCCTTCCTGAAGCTGTATGTCATTGCTTAGACCTTAGGAATAGCAGAGAAATGCAGACAGGTTTTTAACGATTTTGTTTATTTGTTTGTTTGTTTAAGCATTTCATAAGCTTGCTTCAGAGCCCATCTGCCATCCACAGTTCCCCCAATGGCCTGTGTTTGTTCACGCCACTGCTGATATGGCATCTC